ATCATGGTGAACGCTGTATTGGTCCGCTTGTGAAAATAAATCTGTCGGACCTCACATTGGCACTCAGACTATTGAGTGTCACACTACTAAACAAGACATGTTAAAAACATAAATGAATATATAAAAATCTGGAGTATTTAGTATACCTCCTTGATGTTTGATCAAAAAGAGAACCATCATTTTTAACATCTTCATGAAAAAAAAATCCCCAAATTCTAATTCTGTTTTTCTTTAATGAATTAAAAGCATTCAGCACAAACTGAGTTAAAAAAATAAAAATAGCATGTGTAAAACACAAATCTGACCTTTGATGTTGAGGATACTTATTTCCCCAAAGAAAGTCCCCGCACTCAAAACTGCAAATTCTGTAACCCCATCATCTGCTACGACGGCAAGTTTTCCCTCTTTGATGATGTACATTTCATGGCCCACATCTCCTTTCCTGCAGACGTACTCTCCTGGGCTGAACACCTGCAACAGAAAAGATGAGACAATCCTTCATTTCTGAGCAAAAGTTTCTAATACAAGATGTACAAGATAAAACCATGAGTCACTGCATGATGTACCTGAGAGTAGCAGATGTGTTGTTGCTAATGTGTTCTATAAAAATGAATGCCTTTAAAATAACAAATGGAATAACATAATTTATTATAATTTTCTACTTTATATTTATGTACTGTTCATTAAGTAGAGCAGAGGTCTTCAATTTAAATTAGCAAGATCCGACTAAATAAAATTTCCTTTACCAAATGTTAAGATAATAAATATTTCAATTATTCTTTATCTACAACCACAGCTTACTTCTCACATTATACTGTTTTTTTAGACCAGCTGGGTGGCAATTTGTTTCTGCAGAAAGAAGCAGAAAGATAAATACGATATAAGCTGCACAACTATAGTGACCGGCGTTTGCTCCATTAGACAAGAGAATGAGTCAGACAAAGTGATTTAATTATTTACTAATCAAAATGGAAGGCAATTATCTGTACTATGCTGTCTTTCAATAATATAATATGATATGATGATTGTGTTCCACAGCCATGAAATATTTTTTGGAATGAGTAATATGTAAAAATATGCATGTTCTTATACTTATTTTCTTGTTCAGATCTACCACAAGTTAATAACAATATGTGAATGTTTTGAATGAGTCATAGAAAACCCTTTGACACAGCTGTGGACTGATTAGTGGTTTATTCTGCAACCCCCAGCTGCCAGCTAATCAGTGCCCAGGACCAGGAAATAAACATTGATTCATCATCGTCTTCACGTCCTGACCATTGATATATATTACTGGATTGGGCGTCACGTGACCTGGGCGTGCTTCGCAAGGGGGATTTTTATGCATTGAGCTAATGCTAACGCTAACCATTGAAATCAATGAGCAGAACATAGCGCGGTGCAAACAAACGCTTTATAAATGTACAAATGGTACAAATACTTTGCTATAAACTGCAGAAATTGTTACGTTTACAAGCGCTAAAAGGGTTATGTTTCACAGGTAAATATTACGCATATTTAATCAAAATTAATTATTTTAATTGTAAAACCTGTATGCTAACATTAAACAGCTTCAGCATTCATGTTTAACCTTATTTAAATTCGATTTAATCTGTTGTCAAATATATTATTTATTGATATTAAACATGAAAATATGGACTTTATTGGATTGTTGACTAGTTAGACTGCATATAAATTCAGAAATTATGATGTAGACTCACTAATGACACATACTAATGTAATGATTGAGCATCATCAACATAAATAGTCACGTTGTCAGACAGGTTGGTTTATTCAGATATTTTCTACATCCAGTATTTGTGTTTTTCAACATTTCCAGAGAAAAATGAGGAAAAAACATGTGCACCAGCTATGGTTCAGCTTCAGGTACAGCCTGCATCATTGTGAAACTGAAGAATAATTATTTGTGATAAAAATAAATTCATTAAACAATTC